AGGTAATAGCCTTTCCTCTCAAATTTTCCTTCCTCCCATTTTTTTACCTTTACTGCTGAGATGTATTTGGAGAGGATTAGGATCACGTAAACTGCTGGTAGTGTAGGCGTGCTTATCTGGTGTGCGTTCCTAATGATTTGTTGTCATAATTAGCTGTGCTGTTTCTCCCTGTAGATAGGTGGGTTTGGCACAGAAATTACTGATGTGTCTGACTGCTCTGTAATGTATGTGAATGCAGTCTCTGGCAGTATGTTATTGTGTGTTTGGGGGGTTGTTTTCCTCAGGTCCTATGCTGTTACTTTCGCTGTGCAGGCAGTAATACATTCAGCTGGCTGTGCAACTGGCTAGTCATAATAATGCTGTCAAGGTGCATCTGTTATCATATTTAATATACTTTATGTATGTTCTATTCAGTGCAGCCTCATGTTAGCACAGAATCTGGACCTGTCTATCTTGATCGCAGCTTTTTTTTTTGTTTTGGTTTGGTTTGGGTTTTTTTGTTTGTTCGTTTTTCCTACATCACTCCTTAATGGTCATAAAGGTTTCAAAGATGAAAAACAGTCCCAGCATCTTGCAACAAACCACCTTCAGGTGTTTTATTTTTTACAGAAATGAAATGCTGTTAATAGCAAGCCCAGAATTTCTAAGGCTGATTGCCCTTGCATACCCTATGAGAAGAATATGTCTCAGAGGAGACTTTAAGGTGCAGCTGCCAGGAGTTGAGCCTGCTCTCTAAGCTTGGTCTGCTACAGCAGGGGCAGGCAATGAAGGAAGATATGTGTCATCAAGGAACAATTCAGAATCTTACAAGTTGTTCTTGTCAGACCTACCCTGACAGTGTATGAGTTGTTTTTCATTGCTGTTTTAAGTTCAGCAGAAGATATGGTGTATTCCAGGGCTGAGGGGCTGTTAGTCCAGCGCACATAATTTTTTTTAATCAGCTTCTTTCCTGTACTGTCATATGCATTCCTACTCTAATGGCAGAATGCTAGTGCATGGTACAACTTATTTTTACAAAGATTTAAGGGGTTTTGTTGTTTGCTTCAATGTGAGCGATTTCTTATTTATAGTTGGTATTGCGTGTTGGAGCAGATGACACTGGAAAAACAGTGAGGGACCCTGAGTATGTGCAGTTAATGCTGCCATTAACTAAGCCCCAGTGCTGCTGAGCAGTGGCACTTGGAAACTTCAGTGGGTTTTTTTCCCTTATTTCCAAGCACTCTCAAGCCTACTTGTTATGTTCTCATCTTATTCACCACCCCATCTGTTTTGCTTTGGCTTAATGCCAGTAAAGTTCATGTTGGGAAGAGCTAAATTATGCTTAAATTCTATTTACAAATATTTTTCGTTTGTTTCTTCCATGCAGGTATCGGACAGGGAGATTGATCTGATTTCTAGGCTGTAGTTACTGGGGTTACTTCTTTTGCTTTTGCAGTTGTCCAATTTGTCTCACCCAAAAAAGCTGTAGTTTTCATCAAACTCCTTTAACACCATTGGGATCTGCTCTTAAGGTGGATCACACTCCTAAGGTGGTTACAGTGGGTCATGGGTTACAGCAGTCTAAATAAACTTCACTTGTTCTGATTGTTCAAATTTGTAGACTTCTAGAGGTAAGGATGTGTCCTGAAATAAAGTGACATATTGTAATTCCTCCGCAGTGGGATTAATTCGCTTAAGATTATCCAGAATCCTTCGTAAGATGGTGAGAGACAGACTTCCTTCCATAGCTTTGTTCTGCTGTTTAATAACCACCTCACATCTGTTGAGTTTTCAACTTGATGTTTGTGTGAGTTGGGCTGTATTTTGAGCATTCCTCCCATAGTATTCTGAGACTGAAGTAAGCTAACATAGGAAAGACCTCATGTATTCATTAGGAATTTCCACAGGGCATGCTTGTTATTTCTAAGTTTAGTTTTAAGAGTGCTGTAATCCTGTGAAGTTAGGAAATATTTTTTTGCAATAAAGCTGTTTAAAATTTTGCTTGCATGAAAGAAAAGCTTGCGAGGTAGGTAATCGGGTTATGTATGTTTACTTTTTGGTCTCTGACCTCCTGGAAGGGATAAAGGAGACATATGTATTATATATAAATTCCTTCTGCTGAAAGTACCTCATCAAAAGACAAGCCTGGCCCTTCTGAGTCATACCACAGGTCCATCTAAGGCTGGTATCCTGACCTAAGTTGGCCAAGAATGGATATCTAAGATAGAGAGTAAGAGCAGGGAAAGCATATAGAGTGACTACTCAGAATGCTCTTACAACCTTCAGTGAACTGGTGAACATGGTTTTTTGGATTTCTTTATTGTAAAGGCCAAGACTAAATTTATAAAACTCTAAAGATTCTCCCTCGTTGGCTCATAGAGAGAGCAGTATGCGAGAGCTGATTTCACACTTCTTCATGCTGAGGTTGGCCAAGAGACAGGATTTGGTCCTGCTGTTGTCACTGTTTCTTTCTCACAGCTGCTTTCATTTCTGCTTCACTTGCTGTTTCTAGGAAGGCAGTTTCACAGTGTCTTAAGGTTGCTCAGCTCTCTCACATGTCTTCATGGGACAGGAATGCAAAAATTTCATGACATCCTGTACTTTTGCTACAGGAAAAGACAATCTGAAAGTACTTGTTTTCACAGTCACTGTATTTTAAATTACATCTCTTTGCATTCAATGGTTGACACATTTTAAAGGTAAGAAGAGTGGTGCAGATATGTCGAAGTTCATATGCTTGGTCACTGTTTGAATCAGGAAGAGCTTTGCTGAATTTGAAGAGAGATATAATCCTTCCATCTCTCCTCTAGTTCCCTGTAACACCACTTAATATTTAACATGTAAAAATGATTCTCTCTGCCATGTATTGGGGAAGAGAGGTAGTGCCTTATCGTTCCCCCACTGACCATCCCTTGCCACTACTATTAGCAAATTTATCTCTAGCATAGAGCTGGCTACAGGCTTTGATGTCCGTCAAACAATATTTACACTGTATTTTATTGATTTGAAGGCATTACAATAATGCATAAATTAAAAGTATAATTTAAATGTGCTGATAGTTTCTGCACAAGGGTGACTTCATCCCTTCTTTTGCCCTTTCTTTATGATGCTTCTGGTTAACGTGTTACACCTTGCTATGGATATAGGTAATGCTTCAGTGGTGCTCTGGTAAACCCTTTGCCTGTAGGTCCAGGCATGTTTCTTCAGTATTAGTACTGCCTCAGGAATAAGTTTTGATTTGTGCTGCTACTGTGATGTAAAACAGCTTGAAATTCGTCTTGGGCTGTAATTAAATTGACATTTTGTTTGGCTGCATCGCACTGGCTGTACCGGAGCACATCTGCAAACTTACTTCTGTAATTCCATATTGCCAAATGGCTGCTGTTCACGGTACTGCCTGGGAGAATTTTGTTCTGTTTCAAAGCCAGTGAAGATACATGTTATTCCTTTAAATAACAAACATGTTATCCTTGTACACATACATTAAAGCATTGATAAAGGAAAGTGGAATAGTGCACCAGGGAAAGCAGTTGTACCTTGCCTAGCTTTGAGTGCTCATGGACTTTGATGCTCTGTCTCTCCTCTAAAATTATTCCTTGGGATTGCTTTCCACCACAAGTCACTAGACTGAAATTTGATTATGCACATGCATCCCTAAAGTGATCTGAAGAGACCTTCAAGATTAGGGAGGGGATACTTTCCTCTGTACCTTTGTGTTCATGTTGGGAGTTTTAATATTTTTGTAATGTTGAAAGTTTGGGGCAGTCTATAATTAAATGACTTTTCTTTAAATACCAGAAGAAAAGCCAGCCTTAGAAGAGATTTCTGCAGGGATTCTCTCTTCTGTGTATCCTGCAGTGATGTGCAGGAAGGTCGAGTGCACAGCGTATGCAGAGCACACTGAGAGCTTAGGGAAGACCAGTCCAGATGTTCTGGTGAACATAAAGGAGCCTGGGAATGGCATTTGACTTGGTCATTAGGAAGAAGAAACACAAATGTTGTGCTGCCAAGCACAGCATGTATTTTCTCTTTCCAGTTTCTTATTTCAGTGCCTGGTGATTGGGGCAGCTGCCCCACACAGATACAGGACTCTTTCACTGAGAAATGGGAACATTTTGCAGTACCTTTCTTCTGAATCTCTTTAATATTCAGATTTTTCTTATTTATCTTCTGTAATTTTGATTATCCTTCAGCAGAGGTTGGATTTCATGAACATTTCTCAGCAGCTCTCTTACTGAGTTAGTCTGCTGCTATTTTTTTCCATGTAGTTATCTTCTATATCTAGAATGAAATCTTCTTTTGGGAAAATTTGTATAAGATTTCTTTGAGATCTTTTGTTCATGTGTTGTTTGATCATTGTTTATGTCCCGCACTTTTGACATACTTCTGTCTGTGCTTCTTTTTGCATACTAGATGCTGTCACTTTCTGGCTTTCCCTCTGAGTCCTTTTATTGTAGGGAACGAGTTCTGTTCTCTGCTTGAGCTCTTAATGAACTGGTGACTTTTTCCTTTTTTTTTCATGCCCAAAGAAGTATAATGGTTGAATGACCAGCCCTAGTATTTTTTTTAAGTTTGGTATTTATGTTGTTAATCTAATTTATATCTGCAACCAAAGTGCTATGGTAACACTCATTTTTAGGATGGAAGATATTTCCTGTTTTGGGGGAAGGACAATAGAATTGCCAAGATCCATGCTTAGTAAAAGATCCAGCCTATTTCTAAAGCCAGTAAAATATCTTAGGAAGATCTTTTATTAGTCCTTTTTCAATTAATTTTCTTCCAGGAAAGCAGAGTTAATGTGTTTCAGAAAGTCATTTTTGTAGAAGATACATAACATGAAAAACTTAAAACAAAATTAATTTCAGCACAAGCTATCTGGAGCTCCGTATAAAAGCAGGAAAAAAGGGCATAAGGTAGAAGAGAAACACCATAGGCACAAGTTATTTCTCTGTATTTTAATTTGATCATCTGATATAATATGGCTTCAGCCTTTTCTAACACTCCCCATCTTCTATGCTTGGCTGTTCATTACAGTGATGTGTCTGTACTCCTGGCTATGTAAAGGCCTTCTACCCTATTCAGATGCTTTTAGGTTTATTGAATGCAATACCTGGCAAACCTCTCTGATTTGTGTTGGATGTCATCCAGTGAAAATACAAACTGCCTAGGTAGCAGCTGCTCTGCTAAAGCAAGACCTTTTTGCCTGGTAACAATAACAGCCCTCACAGCATTTTGGTGGTGTTGGGTTCTCTATGTGCTGTTGACTGTCAGGCCCAATAGCACTGGCCTGCTGCACGGTGTAGCTGATAACTGTCACCCTTTTCGTTTGTGCTGCTGACTTGAAGCATGGTTGTGTCTGTCAGGTTGGGCATGGAGTGAGCTCAGCTGTTTGCAAGGTGAGTTCACTTTCTTTCCTAAGAGACTGGTTCTCTTTTAGTATAGGCAAAACCTGTGGAAATATAGCATGTACTTATATCGTGACCTCTAATCATTTTGTCATTTGTTCCCCCTGCCCCTTTTTTTTCCCCCCAGATAAATGGCTCATTTAAATTGGGAGCTACTAAAATACTCTCTGGCTGGCAAATGCAGTGCCTAGCAGCAGTCATCAAGGACGAACCAAACATGAGTGGTGGAGGGGAACAGGTCGACATTCTTCCGGCCAACTACGTGGTCAAAGATCGTTGGAAAGTGGTGAGTAGCTCCAGTTTTGTGCTTCCTTAACGGCTCAAACAGACCTCCTCGTCCTGTAGTAGTACAATAACTTGTCTATTTAATCCTGGCCTCTGGCAAGCAACAGTGGAGTGGTATGGTTTGACATGTTAGTGAGATACTGCAGGAAGGTTGATTATCACTCTAGTGGTTTTTAGACTGTCTGGTATTTTCAGAAGACTAAACCTGCCAAGGATTTTTAGGTAGGATTGAAGTGTTGAAGCAGGCTGAATAATTTTTTAGTGAGAAACTTAGATTTTGAGTTACTGTGCCAAAGAATACTGCAGACAAGTTTATAAATAAATCACATTACAATAAAATAATGTAAATCCAAATGTGTAGGGTTGGAATGTCAGCTACTTCAATAGTCAGAAATTCCATGATTAACTAGCTGGTACAACATCTGTGTAAATTTATTAAGATACTTTAAAAAATTATATAATTGTTATGAGTTTTATTTCTTCATGGGACAACTGTCTCATCTGTTGTGCAAGCTGGATGGGCTTGGCTTTTAAGATGCTGAAAAAAAATTGTGCCATTGTCTCCATTTTTAACTTGGAATATCAGCACTGTCTGAATCCCTAATCTCATAGCAGAAGCCTTGTTGGTTTGAAGTACAAGTGATTTGTAGGAGTAGCACTAAGTTGTTCTCTGTGCTGACTAGCTGTGGTACAGTGGCCCTGCGAGTTCTGCAGTGGAATGTGAAGTGCAGAGAACTAAAAATGTTCTGGACCCTGAATTCACTTCAGTTCCAGGCTGTGGATAAAACATTTTTACCAGCCTACATCAGACAATAGATTATCCTTTCATTAGACTTGACCTGGACAGTTCAGCCTTGCTCTGTTCTTGTTGCTCTCTCATTTCCTGGCTCTCTTCATTTTGCTTCCTGCTTTCTCCACAACCTTTGCTTTTTTGTCTGGCTTATCCCTTAACAGCCTATTTATATTTAAGCAATTGAAACTGCTCTTCATTGTCCTTGCTTCTTGAGAGGGAATGGAGAATCTCAGTTTTCTCTGTGATTAGACACCAAAATGGAGACAACCATATCTATCCATATCCCAAAGCTTTCTGGCACAGCTGCAGGAAAGTCTTGCTGTACTCTTGCAGCTCTGGTCTGGAGCACATATACTCGTTTTAGAAGGATGATAAATGTGCAGGTGAACTGACAAACAGAACTTGAAACATGCTCTGTGCTTACCAACATCTCAGAAAATACAGGTTGCAGCTTTTGTCTGTCCCTCCCTGCACAAATGGAAATTTCCCCAGAGACTACAATTTGGTCAGATTGGTCCATGTTGTTTGCAAAGCTGAATTTAGACACTCCTGATGCCTTTGCTTTGAGTGCATGCTGGCAAACACTCAACATGAGGAAGAACTTCTTTATGCTGAGGAGGACAGAGCTCTGAACAGGCTGCCCAGGGAGGTTGTGGAGTCTCCCTCTGTAGATGCCTTCAAAACCCACCTGCACACCTTCCTGTGTAACCTGCTTTAAGTGATGCTGCCATGGCAGGGGGGTTGGACTAGGTGATCTCCAGAGGTCTCTTCCAACCCTAATGATTCTGTGATTCTCTCTTTTCCTTTACTCTGGGTAGCTTTGGCTTGTACCATTCCCTATTCATCAAACTTTGAGTTTCTCCTTCATAGACAGGAGTGCTAAAACTTCTGTAAATGATGGGAGTGTTTTTGTAGCACGGTCTAAACAAAGTAACTTTGTTCTTGGGAAACAGCAGAACTCTTAAATGCACCAGAAGCTACAAGTAAAGTCTAAAATATGCTAAGTTATTGTCACAGGGGAATATTTGAAACTAATTTTAAAGTTGGTAGAGGCCCTAAATGTGGGGTTCAGTGCTTCACTGTTGCATGAATCTGTGACTGGGGACATCTAGAAGGTCTACCCACTAATTCTGCCTTAGAAAAGAGAAAAATGTGCAACTGTATTGTCAACAACAACAACTACCTCAAACTAGAGGAATAGCCTTTTATGTTTTATAATGTTGGCTCACAGTAGCCTTCAATACTGCAGTGAGGTCATTGCCCCACTTTAAGGCTCTGAGAAATTACATGCCTTGCTAAAGGCTGTAAATAGCAATGAGAAATTCTTATTCCCACCTCTGAGTAGAAGTGGGAATTTGGCCTTGTGCTAGCTGAGTAGAGCACTGTTAGCCTTCACTGAACAGTCATTCCTCCCCACCAAAGAAGTGCAAGATGCACACTCTTTCCTTTTAGGCAGGCCTTCTGTGCTGTCCCCTCGCTGTGCTTGATGTTGGTGTGGGACCAGTCAGAACCACAAGCTGTGTGGGGCTCGGAGTAATCTGGAAAAACTATGAAAATACCTCTTTTGGCCCAAGGAAAGGGACAGCATATGATCAAGTGACTGCACCTTAAAGTGAGCATCCCACATTACAGCTGTAACATTGCATCACAGACCTTTCTGAGTCTAACCCATAGTGTGCAGGCTGTACGGTCCAAGCTTTGCTGTGGGTGATGGATACTGCTCAAGCAGGTGTGTGGCATATTTATGTGGTGCTGGGGTGCAGCTGCCAGAAGGTTTTTTGTGTAATTTGTCCTCCCGTTGTGATTGTCTCTGGCTGGGCATCTGCTTGAACCTTGTAGCTCTCAGTGCTGATATACCTCCAGTGTTGAGCCAATTTCTAATTTTAGATTGGTGTAATGTATTCGTTGAATTCCTTTCCTTTTCTCTTTCTATATGCTGGTTGACAAAGCTTTGACAAATGAAGATGTTAATTCTCTGCAGTTGGCCTCTTGGTTGTTCATTTTCCTGTCACTTGAAGTCAGTAAAATTTGGCTATCTGACAGCAGTAATATTTCTGTTCTTATTTATGAGAAAAGACATGGACAGGCAGTGCTTATGGTTTTTATCAAAACTTTTGGACTTAGAAGGGGTATTCTTCTGAGTCATCATTCATTATTTGCAGGTATCTTTGGTGCTTTCACTGGATGAAATTTAGACAGTACTGGGACCACATGACTTTTACTGACTCCCCAGAGGGTGACTTGATCCACATGTGCTCTGAATGATGTAAACAGCTTTGTTGAGGGAAGGGAACAAAGACCAACATAACTTGTGCTTGCTTTGAACTAGGGATAAATGTGGATGCCTTAAAGCTGAACTGATGTATCTTTTGTTTCACCTAAATGCTTTTTATTGGGGATTCACAAATGAGACTTATCAGCGAGACAGAGTTGGCAGTTCCTGCACTGAGCTTTGAATGTAAGTGTTGACTCGTGTACACGTTCATTTGCTAGGTGCAATCCATGCTTTGTTTTCTTTCAGGTTTCTGAGGTTCTTGAACTGAAGCTCTTCTGTTTAGCTTGGAAACCTTGCTGGAAGGCCCACACACTTTTGTAAACTCTTTACCTTGTCTGTCTCACAAGGGCCATTTATGATTCCAAGAGTGAACTCGGGACAAGGAAGGTTCTTTTTCGGTCTTGGGGCCTGTTTTGGTCTCACTTGAATTTCTTCAACTGGGCTTTGAGGGGTTTTCAGATGATTTAGAATGTGGCCGATTGGCTTCTTGGTTGCCTACTCAGTTCATGGTGCAATTGCATGCTTGTTATACATGAGTTCATTTCCCTTGAGATCAGATCCAGTCCTTTTGAGCAAGTTGGGTGGACTCTTGAGAGTCTGATGAATGTAGGTCAACTCAACTCGTCCTCACCTGTTAAGTCAGATGAGGCCTTCTAGCCATTTCCGAATCAAGGAGCCCACTGAGTTGGGCTACAGGAGTTGCAGGCTTGACTATGCAAGTGCTCCTAAAAGGCAGTCACTCTTTGACCTTGTCAAACATTTGAAGCCTATGGATGACAGCCTTGACCCTAGCTGAGTTCACTATAGATTGCTGGCTTTTTGTTTGGTCCTTTGCTTTGGATTCAGAGCACACAGCCTTGTTCCTTGACTCTGCCACCAATCCTGAGACTGAACCACTCCTGCCTTGGTTATCCTGGGAAGGTCTGGTCTGGGAGGCAGACTTTGTTTAGAGCAGTGGTGTCGTATATGCTTCTGGAATAAAAGAATAAATTTGTAATTCAAAGCTATTTTTGGTTGGGGTTGTGTGTTGCCTTGGTTTTTTGAACTGTCTCTCTGAGAATACTGATTTCTGCTTAGTGAGAAGGCTGTGTGGTGTTGTTGTTGTTGGATTTTTATAGGCTCTGGAGGATTGTGCTACTAGAGGCTTTTTCAGGATAAATCCAAAATAATTCACAATATTTAAAGGAGACTTCAAAGGGAGCCATCTGTGTCCCGTGTAACTACTGATTTTCTGTGTGCAAATCCAAACCTGTGTTTGATCAGATGAACTGTTCACTTGACCCCACAGCCTGTAATGGAAACTTGGCCACTCGACTCATGCACAGGGGTTTGTGCATTTAGGTAGAATGAATCCTGCTGGTTTTGTCAGCCTGTATCCCAGTCTTAACAGTTAAGGGGCTGGTGGAAGGTGGGAAACGGGGTGAGAATAGAATATTTCTGGGGCTTAGCATAGGCTGATGACTCAAGGTTTACAACTCAGGTCATTTTAGGTAGATGTTTCATTCTCTTTCTTGACTCTGTGTTTGCAGTTTCATTATTGGTTTGGGGTTTTTTGAGTGGTATATGCCCATTTCTTCTCTGTGTCCAGCAGAAGGCTGTGCTGTGTTCACCTTAGACAGCGAACTCCCACAGAATACCCAAGCAAGGAGGAAATGCATGTGTCATAAGCCCCTGCCCTCAGCCAAGACCTTGAGTTGCAACAACTTCCTCTGCAACAAAGAAAAGGAAATGGCTTCTGATGGCCTCTGGGTGTTGCTGAAAAATCAAGGAGGATGGCAGTGCTGGTAATGTTGAATGGAACCATCTGGTGTGCTGGGAAAAGTATACCAGAGAACAATTTCCATGAGAGGGTAAGAAAGGAGGTGAGGAAGCAAAGGCAGCTTTGACAGCATTCCATTGGCTGGAATGTGTGTATAAAATCAGTTTTCTGATTCAGCAGAAGCTCCGATCTTGATCTCGTGTCATCTCGCATTTGTTTCTCTACAGACTTTTATGTTTCTTCCAATTTGGTTGTTTTCCCAGGTGTGCAGTCTCAATACTGTACTTTTCTTCTTAAACCTGCTTCTCTGATGCACACGTTCTTTTGCTTTTTCTGAGGTAGTAGTCCTAGTCTGTCCTTAGTTTTTCCAGGCTCCTGATCATTCTTTTACTTCTGAAATGAATGACTTCTAATTCAGTGAGAGCCTCTAGCAGCAAAGTGTTCAGTATTTTCATTTTATGTGACTAGACCTTCCTACAGATCCTAACAGTGCCCCTATCCTAGTCATATTACTATGTTGTTCCATTTATATTGTAATACTTTTGCATTTTGACAACTGTATTGGACGTTGGAGCTGTCTGTTTTAGGGCCAGTGAATGGAAAAGGATCATTATGTTTGTCTGTGCTGGCTCAGCAATTTTTCTTCCCAGATCCATTTCTTGAATTAAGTACCCACTGAGGTGTTTGGATAGCCTGAATTTCTTCTCCATCCCAGCTATGCTGTACTATATTTATTACTGTTGACTTTTGGTTGTTGTGTTACCCATGTTCCAACTGGGAGTATTTTAGTCTTCCTCAAAGTCCTTCCAGATTCCAGCTAAACTTTTTGCCTTCTGTAGCTTTTCACTGTCCCTTTCCCTTTCTCTTTTGTTGTCATTAATACATCAGGCAACAGAAGATCTTGTGTACTGAATCCTGAGGTATTAGCTGGCATGTTGTTGCTGTGCCAAATGTAGCATTGTTTTGATAGAAAGATTTTTAATAGCCGGCTTACTTAGTGTGAATTTCCAAGTAGAAATAGGGCTGCACTGTAATTATTTATGAATAATATGTAGTGACCTAGTTACTGGGCTGCTTACTGTATGAATATGCCTGTTTAGCCCAGTGGAAGGTTGTGAGGAATGTCAAAAATGTCGAAAAGAAGAATGTCTCTGGATAGCAGCTTTTGTAGGGTTATCAAGAAACAGCCTCAGAGACAATAGTCAGGCTCTTAATATGGAAAATACTTCCTTCTTCATGTGGAACTGTTTTTCTTGACCTGCGAGCCAGAAAAACCAATGATTTTGGGTCACCTTTGAAGGAAAAAAATCCTGCCCTTGGTAGGCAGGGCCCTTTGTTCAGCAAACTGCAGATGCACAGGACAGGCCTTCTGTGGTGCAGAAGACACTGAAATATCATCTGAACCTCATTAAACATTGTGTAAGATCCGTGTTTGACGGTGTGACTGAAACATCTTTTTCTCTTGGAGTGTTCTTGCTGCTATTGGAAAGAAGCAGCGCTCAGGGCTTCCAGAGCAGTTGCTAACACAGAGGGAACACAAAATGCTGAAGGGAAGGGCTGCAGCGAAGTTCAGTGAACAAGGGCTAAGCAGATCAAGGGAGCCCTGATCTATCTTTGCTGTAAACTTGAATTTCTTCCTGGACAGCACAGTGTGCTTTAAATATATCCAAGAAAAATAAATATAAAATAGTTTTCCTGGCATAGACATTGACACTTGCAACACATTAGGAGTCTGTCTTATACATGCTCGTATATAAATATATGCACATATGCTGTCAAGTCTCAGCAGAAGGAGGATCAAGGAATCACCTTCCAGGAAAGGCAGAGGATCCTGACTTGCTCTCTTGAGTGGGAGGCTACTCTAGAACAGGCAGATGATCTGTTTCTAGTAGGTACATATCAAATATGCTGAAATTTAGACTTCTTTAGCTTTGAGTTTATGTCAGCTGAAGTAGTGAAATCCTGTTGTGAAACAGTCTTTAATTTTGCTCAGAGATACAAAAAGCATAATTTTATTGGGCTTCAAACTAAAAAAAATGAGCAAGAGAATGAGAAACAATGAAGCTGTATGGGTGGCTTGTGTGCAACTGTTTTGAAGTAATGCAGTTTAGAGTTCTCTGAAATGTGACAATGAAGCAACTTCACTAGCAGAGCAGGTAGAGCATCTTGTAAAATATTCCTATGGATGTTTTGTTCTGTGTTTCAAATCCTTTGAATGAGATGTAAACTTAATTTAACTTATTTCTTAGTTCCAACTACTTTGGTTATGTTTTACTGCAGAAATGTATTTGTTGAGAAGGAATGACAGTTTTTATCTACCATGGTCTGAGTAGTGGTTCTGCTACCTCCTTGAAGTGTCTTTCCTTGAATTTTGGCAGGAACATTACAGAGATAATAGGCATTACCATTTGCTTTTAAATGTATCACATGTCATTACTTGCTAGGCTTGTTCTTTGTTGTTACAGCAAAGAATTTATACATAGCACAGTCAAGTGGGTAGCTGGACTTTTGCCTAGCTGTTCAGTGAAGGGATTGAGCCACAGCACAGATTGGGAACTGAGCTTGTTCTCTCTACACAGTTAAGAAGCTGGTGCCTGGCTTTGTGGGAGCCAATTTGATGTTCTCTGTCGTGTACATTGTACCAAATCTCTTTGTACTTTTCTAGTTGAAGAAGATTGGTGGTGGTGGCTTTGGGGAGATCTATGAGGCGATGGATTTGCTGACCCGTGAGAATGTGGCCTTGAAGGTGGAATCAGCCCAGCAACCCAAGCAAGTTCTCAAGATGGAAGTGGCTGTCCTGAAAAAGCTGCAAGGTAAGGCAGAAAGGCCTTTGGAAGTGCTAAGTCACTGTGCATGTTAACAGCTGGAATCCAAAGTTGCAAATGTTTTTTATAATTTTCTCTTCAGCTTTCATCTATATGTAATGCTATATTAAGTCTTTCAGCTCAGAAGGTTATTACATCCTGCAGCTCCAGTAAGTTCCAGCAACAGGGACTACTTTTGTCTGCCAGGCTATAAGAACAATTAGTAGACTTAAAGTGAGTTAGTGGTACACTGGTCTCTGCAATCTACTGATACTGATTAGAAAATAAGAAATAAAGGAAGCGGCATCTGACTAAGAAATGAGGTTAGCTGATTGCCTCACAGAGGAGCAGGAGCATTGTAAGCATGATGGAGTCTCCAAGCAAAATGGTTGACTATTAGATGAGTGCAAAAAAGTGGATAACGCAAAGTATAGGGAAACTGACAATTAGCTAATTTTTCATTACCTTGCTGTTCTGAAGGCGAAGTGTAAAGTGATGTGTCTATTCTTAATTTTCCCTAACACAGCTTTATATTGGTTTGGATGTGGAAGTCAGCCTTGGGATCATCAATTTCTATGGCTGAACCTGGCAAAGCTTTTAAGCAGATTTCAAACTGACTGGGAAGCAGCAAAATGGGAGCCTTCCTTGGCTCGTATCCAGCCCTGCTGCCACTGAAGATGCTACACTGAAGAGGGACTTGCTTTGTATCAGGGTGCTGTTTTCTGTTTGGTGATATGAAACTATAATAAATAGGGCTAGAAGTTCAAAGTTCCTTTGCTGATCTTTAAAGTCGAGGGTGAAAGAAAGCAGACAGTATCCCAAAGGCTTTTGCAATCGTGATGAGATACATTTTAACACCAAAGGGTGCAAGGGAGTTGTCTTGCTGCAGTTGTTCCTGGCTGAAGGAATAGTAAAGGAAGGAGGGGTCTTCTACAAAAAGCTGAATTGCTATGGGAGGATGTAAACAAGGAATTTCCAAATCTGCCTTTGAGGGACTGAGAACTGCTGTTTGCTGAAGTGCATTGTGCATGGATTTGCATGTTAAGGCAAGGCCAGCTATTGACAGGAACAGTTCCTGTATTCTGATATAATATGCTTTTGAAGGGATGTTCCTTTTTGCAGGATTCCTGCTTGGGCTGAGGAATCCCCTTCTGTTGAAGCAGTGAGTAGGATCCTTATCACTAGGGCTTGTGCTTCAGAGATAGTGTTGTGGTCTTGTGTTTGTGTCTCTACCTCTTCTCTTGTACAAAATCTCCAGAGATATGATTGAATTAGAGGGTGAGACTGTTGCAGGTCTTGTGAGACGGGTGACTCAATATTTGTGACAGATTGCCTCTAGGTAAAAGTCACTGAATTATTTTTGAAGGTCAAATAGTTTTCCACGTTTCAGATCTTCTAAGAGGAGAACTGATAGGCCTCTTTTGAATATACTGTGTTGCAATAGATGCAGCTGAGCTGTGTAAAGGAGAAATCAACCCAGGTCGTTAGAGGAATCTTGCTGTTGAGATGTGAAAGGCCTGGATACACAAGTTCCCAGAGAACAACAAAGCAGGTGTTTGAGGTCTGAAAACAGTGGACTGAGGGCAAGCCAAGGCAGTGATGGAGATTTTTTAGTTTGGTTGTACACTTGGAATTTTCTGAATTGAGTTCAGGGTATGACTGTGTAGAATGTTGGATATTACAGTGCCAAGAGACAATGCTATCCTGCTGGCTAGTGTCAATATGTGTTATATCCAGGGCAGAGAATGCTTGAAACGTGTGACCTGAGATCACCATGTAGGACTAGCATCAGAAAATGTGCAAGGCATTGACTAATACATGTGTACTGCCATCAGTGTTTATTTCTGGAAAATAGCTGAGAATACCAAATGCTTGAAAAAACACCCGCATTTGTACACAGCATGATGCCGTAATTGGGAAGAGGGAGTGGTGGTGTGTAGAATTAGGACAAGTCCCCTGGCAAAGCAGTTAGTAAATATTAAGGGACAGAAAAGACCAAAGAAGCAGATTTGGCTATGCATCAGCTATCCTGCATTTAAGAATGACACATTACTTCAACCATAGTTTTACAAATCAAGCTGTTCTGTGAAGAATTTAGCTTTTTTTGGGTTCAAGGTCAATCCCCAAATGCTTTACAGAAATAAATGATAAAGTTAAAATAAGAAATTGGGTTGAGAGCATTGGGAATCGTCTATTGTATATGTTTTCACTGTGAGTGTTGCAAAGAGGTGACTAACATTTCAGGAAGGGAAATGCTGCCTTTATCCTAAAATTGGTGAATAGAGGAAGTTGGTGGTGTTACCATAGGTGATATAGTCAATTCATGGGTTTCTAGATGAAAAGCAAGGGAATAGTGTTGTCTAAAATTCCTCTGTATTTTTCTGGTAGAACTCTTAAATATTACCCCGTTATTGTTTTCTCTTTAGGTGTCACAGCAACCTTAAAGAACTAATGAGCTGCTGCGCTTTTCAGAGCTTGTAATCAGAGTCTAGCAAGTGGCTAGAGCTTGGCAGAGCTTGGGATAGAGAAGACTGGCCATTAGCCCATACTGCAGACCTATCTCAGGACCTGGTTTGAGTACAGCCTGACCTCTTAGTGCAGTGTTCCTGATCGGTGTGGACTGCAGGCTGTTGCCAACAGCTAGGCTTTCTGGGGCACTTTGTGGAATAGCCACATAAGGAACACAGCTGCAGGTAGGCCCCTGCACTAGCAGTCCCCACAGAACAACTGGGGAACTGAGCAGATAATGACTCCTTGAGAGAATCTCTATTCCTTCTAACAAACACTGCGTGTAGTTTTCTGCTCTGAGGGTGGTCAAATGCCGGCACAGGTTACCTAGAAGGATGGTTGTATCTCTGTCCTTGGAGATGTTGAAAACTCAGTTGCATGTGGCCCTGGACAACATGCTCTAGCTGTCTCTGCTGAGACAAGGGTGTGGGTTAGACGATCTCAAGAGGTGACTTCCAAAACAAATGATTCTGAGATACTTGTGCTTGGCCATGTGAGATCACACGTGGTCGTGACAGCGTCTCTTAACTGCTCTGTAGTGTCATTCTGTTCTGCTCATACTTGATTTGATTTTTCTAGCTTTATATTGCTTTTTCTTTCTGTGTTTAGATATTATATGTTTCCCAAAGGCAAAATTCCTTCTGACTTGCATTGTTAATTGCAAGGATCACTGATCATCTTCTGGCCAAAATTCCGAATCTATTTACTGTCTTGAGTGTGGGATACATCAACAGTGGTGCCCTTTATGCTTAGGGTAAAACACGATTGAGAAGTCAGTTTAGAAAGTTTCTTACTCAAGCAGCTGATGAGCTGAAGCCCTCGGTTGTCCTGTTGTACCTTTACCCGAGAAGCTTTTAGCCAAATTTTTATCTTCTTCTTGCATTCCGTGGACTGTGTTAGTCAAAATCAAAACTTCTTGGTCCCACACAGTTGCTGTAGAATATTTCCTTGTTCAGGCTGGACTTGCAGGGCTCAGGGCATTCTGTCTGGTGCTACTCTATCTGGCCTTTTTATTTTCATCCTTGTCAAGCACTGTTTGGCTTACATTGTCTTCTGACAGGGGCTTGGCACTGTTGAAACAAAGCCGTTTTCTCTGTGTTGGTGAGCGTGCTTGGGGAAGTTGCATTCTTTTTGGTACCATTAGGAAAGCTGACCCCACTATCACAGTGTGTACTCCTGTCCTTGCTGCTGAAGGAGGCCTGCACCCTCCCCAGGGCCTGATTTTACTGATGTCCTCACTGCAACACAAGCAGATGGGATCACCCATGATGCCAGGCCCCTTCCATGAAAACAAGTCTTTCTCTCCAAATCCTCACCACGTGGTGGCATTAAGGCAACTACAGCTTATGAACTTGGACCTCTCTTTTACTTGAGATCCCACCATGTGTTTACCCACTGCCTGCTGTAGGTGAAGTCCTTTGCCATTTATCAACACCAGCCTGAGCAACCCTTTTGGCCTAACTACAGGAGTTGCTTGTCACTGCTGTCAGGCATGATTATCTTTGGCTGACCTGCCCCTTCCATGGATGGAATATGCAGGACCAAGTTTACCCGGAGGATCAGAAAATTTTCATTCATTGAAGAAGGCTGCTCTGCAGTTCCCAGCTACCAGTGTCATGAAGAATCCAAGGAACCACCTTAGAGAATAGACTTTTGCAGTCATAGGTTCTTATATACATGCAAGTATGGAAATTATAGGAAAAATTAATGGTGGACAGCACTAAGGAATGTGTGCATGGAGTTGGTAAGTATAGGGATAATAAAGTAAAAACAGGAAAAAGGATAACAGTGAAAGATATGGGGGATTTTACACTATAAACTTCATGTATTTGGGGAATTTTGCTTTGGGTTAGTTTTAATCTGCCCCCCCGTCTGAGGCACCATTTGTTGGTTTGCTTTAGGATTTGGGGACTATTTGGTGCGCACCTGAAATGGAACTTCTGGGTCTGTTTGCTCAGAAAGAAGACCTTACATGACCCAAAGCCACTCTTTGAACACTGACACACGGTAGTTGTAATGATTGAAGGCAGTATGGGGACTTGCTGTAAAACCTCGTTGCTTTTATAAACTAGGACTCTGAGGTTCCTGTTCTCTGGAATCATGAGGAGAAAAAATGGGATGGTTTCCTATAATTGAAAACATGGAAGGAAGAATACTATCACCTCTAGATGAGCAGATGTTTTTCCATCCCTTCAGTGCTTTGCTAACCCTTTGAAATACTGATTTATTTTATTTCCTTTGAAGTAGAAGTGGACAGAAACCTGCCTGCTCTCTCTGTGACTTTTTCCCCCACCCTGGGTTTGCTGTGGAGCATCATTCAGCTGGCCAAGGAGCATTCGTGGAGTACTATCTGGACTCAGTTTCCCATCTAGGACATCTTTGAGGTTAATCAAAATGCCACATCTCTGTTAGAACAGCCCTGGGATAGTTTTGAGGTGCTTGGCTTGGGCTGTCTCAGTCTGCATTTCTAACAGCAGCCTTAACTGCAAAAACTGTAAACC